CAGGAAGGTGTTTGGAAGGTTGTCGGGAAAACCTTCCCGAAACCTTCCTAAAACCTTCCCCAGGAAGGTTTTTGGGTTGAAACGTTCCTAAAACCTTCCCCGGGAAGGTAGATGGAAGGTTTTTGGGAACAACCTTCCTGAAACCTTCCTACAAACTTCCTCAAGAAGGCGTTTGTAAGGTTGTTGGGAAAAAACCTTCCTGGAACCTTCCTAAAACCTTCCCCAGGAAGGTTTTTGGAAAGTTTGTGGGGGCAAACCTTCCTGGAACCTGCCTAAAACCTTCCCCAAGAACGTTGTTGGAAGGTTTCTGAAACAAAAAAAAACTGCCTGGAACCCTCAAACCTTCTTCAGGAAGGTTTCTGGAAGGTTTTGAAAAACCTGCTTGCAACCTTCCTAACACCTTCCTCAGGAAGGTTGTTGGACGGTTTTTGGATAAAAACCTTCCTGGAACCTTCCTAAAACCTTCCTCAGGAAGGTTTTGGAAGGTTTTTGGAACAACCTTCCTGCAACCTTCCTAAACCCTTCCTCAGAAAGGTGTTTGGGAAGTTGTTGGGAAAACCTTTCTGAGACCTTCCTAAAACCTTCCTCAGGAGGGTTTGTTGGAAGGTTGTGAGAAAAAAACCTTCCTGAAACCTTCCTATAACCTTCCTCAGGATGGTTCCAGGAGGGGTTGGCCGAACTGCCGCACCCAACTGCCCCAAGAAGGCCACGAGACGGCCACGAGGGACCCAAGACGGCCCACGAGACGCCTAAACCGCTCAACAACGCCTCAAGTCGGCGCCCCAGACGGGGACGAGGAACCGAAAATGCGAGCCATTTGGACTAAGAGGCCCCCAGGAGACCCCAAGAGGCTCCAAGAAGCGCCCAAGAAGCCCCAAAAAGTCCCCAAGAGATCAGCGAAAACACAAAAGGAGTGCCCGAACACGCCCCAAGGAGCATCCCAATGGAGCCTCAGTTAATTAGCAAAAATCGTGAATTTCCTCCTGGAGTCCTCTGGAGAGCCTGTGGGGCAGTCTTGGGTGCCTCTTGGGCCGTCTTGGATGCAGTGGACGCCCAAAAGGCGAACACGCCAAAAATTATCAGTTCCCCTGATCGGAAATCGACGATGTGTGCTTATTAGGGCTCTATTGGGGTGCCCATTGGGACGTGTTCGGGGGCTCTTCTTGTGTTTTCGCGGGTCTCTTGGGGAACACTTGGGGCTTCTTGGGGGCTATGTGGAGCCTCTTTGGGCCAACTGGCTGGCACGTTCGGTTCCTCGTCCCCGTCTGGGGTGCCGACTTGAGGCGTTGTTGAACGGTTTAGGCGTCTCGTGGGCCGTCTTGGCCCCCTCGTGGGCCGCCTTGGAGCCCTCTTGGGGGCATCCTCGACCGTCTTGGGTGCCTCTGGGGCCGTCTTGGACGCAGTGGAAGCCCAAAAGGCGAACACGTCAAAAATATTAGTTCCCCCATCGGAAATCCACGATGTCTGCTTATTGGAGCTCTATTGGGGTGCCTCTTGGGGCGTTTTCGGGGCCTCTTTTTGTGTTTTTTTCTGGCCTGGCCTCTTGGGGCTGCTGGGTTCGTCTTGGAGCCTCTTGGGGTCTCCTAGGGGCTTCTTGGGCCAAAAGGTGTGAATTTCCGGTTCCTCGTCCCCGTCTTGAGCGCCGCCTTGGGGCGTTCTTGGGCGGTTTGGGTTGTTATTGGACCATGTTTGCTTATTGGGGGCTCTATTGGGGTGCATCTTGGGAGCCTCCTGGGGGTCTCTTGGGGCCTCTGGGGGGCCTCTTGGGGCCTCCCGGGGCCTCCTGGGAGCCTCTGGGGCCGAAAGCTCGGAATTTGAATCAGGTTGTGCACCTCTGGGACCCCTCTGGGGCTCGTCCTGGGGCTCTCTTGGGCTGCCTTGGGGGCCTCTCGGGCCGTCTTGGGACCCTCTTGGGGTCGTCTCGGAGCCCTCTTGGTAGCCTGTGGGGCAGTCTTGGGCGCCTCTTGGGCCGTCCTGGACGCAGTGGAAGCCCAAAAGGCGAACACACTAAACATATCAGTTTCCCCATCGGAAATCGTCGATTGTTGCTTATTGGGGCTCTATTGGGGTGCCCCTTGGGGCGTGTTCGGGGACTCTTTTTGTATTTTTTCAGGCCTCAAGGGGGGCCTCTTGGGGCTTCTGGGTTCTTCTTGGAGCCTCTTGGGGTCTCTTGGGGGCCTCTTGGGCCAAATGGCTCACATGTTCGGTTCCTCGTCCCCGTCTGGGGCGCCGACTTGAGGCGTTGTTGAGCGGGTCCGGCGTCTCGTGGGCCGTCTTGACCCCAGGGCCGTCTTGGGGCCCTCTTGGGGGCATTCTCGACCGGCTTGGGTGCCTCTTGGGCCGTCTTGGACGCAGTGGAAGCCCAAAAGGCAAACCCGCCAAAAATAACAGCTGTCCCATAAGAGTTTTGCTTATTGGCGCTCTATTTAGGTGCCTCTTGGGGCGTCTTCGGGGCCTCTTTTGGTGTTTTTTCGGGCCTCACGGGGGCCGTCTTGGACGCAGTGGACGCCCAAAAGGCAAACACACCAAAAATATCAGTTCCCCCATAGGAAATCGACGATGTTTGCTTATTGGGCCTCTCTCGGGGTGCCTCTTGGGGCGTCTTCGGGGGCCTTCTTGGCGTCATGGGAGTCGTCTTGAAAGGCGGCTGCCGCCTCTTGGGGCCCTGTTGGCCCCGGGTCGCCGAAACCCTGTAAAAACATATGGAAAACGACGCCCGGTCCCCCATGCCCTGTCGAGGTCGCGGTCCCGGGCCCAAGGGCCTCGTGCACGGGGAGATCGATCTATCTATCTATCTATCTATCTATCTATCTATATGTATATATATATATACCTCCCTATATATACGAAGAGTGAGAGAGAGAGAGAGAGAGAGAGAACAAAAAAAAGAGAAAGAGACAAAGCCCGCGTTTTCTAAGACGCAGGGGTGCTTCTGAGAAGCACTCCCCCTGCCCCTATGGTAGGAGCTCGACAACAAGAAACCTTCCATACGAAACCCAACCCTGAGACCCCAGGACGTCCATTAATTTTTGGTGTGGGAACGCCGGGAACGCTACGCTCTCCCTGGCGAAACCATCGAAACCGAAGAAACCCAGAGGGCACCCTGGAGGCAAACAGGGAGTTTCTTGGCATGGGCCCCCACTGTACGCCCCATCTGTGCGAGGCCGAGTATGGAGCGCGGTGCGCTGAGAGCGGCCAAGTGCTCCAACAGTCGGCTCTCCGACGTGCTGTGGGTCATCGATGCTCGAATCTCAGCTGCCTGCGGGCCTCCACGGCGCTCGGCGTCCAGAGACGGGTCCCAGGCTCTCGCGCAGACTCCGACCCTCGTAGGTCCCTGAGGTCCCAAGGCTTCTCTGGAGGCTACCATGAGTGTCTAGGATCCCTGGAGGCCTCGCGGGGCACAAAAGAAGCCCGAAGCGTTGATTTGGACGCCCGAAGTGGCTGCGCAAACTCTGGGCACGACGCCCCGCAGCAAAGGTTGTCCGAAACCAGCAGGTGGAGACTGATTGGCAGGCGGCCGTCTCGCTCGAATGGGAAACGTCTGTGGCGACGACGACAGCGAATCCAATTCAAATGGACAGAAACTGCGGTCGGTCTTCGTACCCACTCTTTCCGTGCCCATTTCGATCGTCCCGAGTGGATCGGAGAGGAGCCGCGTGAGACAACGGCGGTGCGGCAACGGCGGCCCAACAAATCTGTTCGAAATCGGTCCACTGACTCCCCCCTGGGTTTGCGGATGCCATGACAATGGACACTCTGACAATCCGATCATTGAACTCAGAATGTGTTGAAAAGGTGTAGAACATGCTCTAAACATGTTTCAAACATGCTCTTACACATTGAAGATAACAGTGGCACATTTCTTAAGCATCTGGAACACATATAGTTACATGTTTCCTCTCCATTATCGGGGAGACGTAAGACCCGGGTTCGGGGGACTCGGGTTGGCCCCATGGGGCCATCAATGAAAATGACGAGACCACATTTGAAATTTGACGCGAGCTCCCGCTGCAAACATCCCACGAACACTGCACCGCCAAAATCCGGGACGCGCTCGCCAAAAACGTCGGCGAGCCCGAGTTCCGGCTTACTCGAGTCTTACGTTTCCCCGACACTATATCGACTTCCACAACCCTCTCCATTAATCGACGTCCACAACCCGTTCATCGACTTCCACCCCATGCTTCCTTTCCATGAATCGACTTCCACAGCCCTGGGTCCGAACGCACCCGCGTTTTCCGCGCCGCGCCCCGCCGTGGCGACGAGGGGCCCCCCGAAAGGCCTCTCGAGGGCATCCCCTTTGCCTCCACGCGCCCTCCCCCGTGAAGCACCTGGGCAGGGACGGGCCGCCCCGGCATCCCGAGGGGCCTCCCACGACATGTCCTTGGAACCCAAGAAGTGTCTTGAGAACGGACTACCTACCAGGACCACCCCAACCCAACCCGAAGACCCGAATTTCGGGTTGGGGGGGGGGAAGGGATCCACGCGTGTTTTTTCGATGTTTCCCGACCCCCCCCCCACTGGAAATCGAGGGTAAATCTGAGCCTTGGGGTTGGGTTGGGGTGGTTTGGTGGGTTGTGAAGAACAAGCACAACATTCTTAGAACATGAGCCCGACGTGTTAGCACAAGACAGACTCCGCCAGCAAGGCTCCAAGAACAGCTCGTGGAACACGAACAGAAGGTCCTTAGAATATTCTTGGGTGGACCGGTAGGCGAGCTGGGACGCTTCGCCACTGCTTTTGGGCGCCCGAGTTATCCGGGGTAACTCGGGTCCGGGGTAAGTCGGGTTTGGAGTCCCGAAAAAGGAACCCGAGTTAGCCCTGACCCGAGATACCCCTGATGATTCGGGGCTCTGGACGCCCGAGTTATCCGGGGTAACTCGGGTCCGGGGTAACTCGGGTTTGGATTCCCGGAAAAGGAACCCGAGTTATCCCTGACCCGAGTTACCCCTGATGATTCCGGGGCTCTGATGCTTGGAGAAAGAAAAAAACACGAAGCG